TGGACCTAATGCGAAAGTTATACTACTTATTAAGTAGTGGTTCTCTTATTATGTCACCTACTTTGTATATATTTATAATTCTGCATTTTATCACTGATTTTTACATATATACCTCACTAACTTTACCTACTTTTATTGTCCAAATTGTCCTACACTATTAGGTGTAGTAAGAGGAACACAGGGAATTTTTTTTTAAAGAGACACTTTAAGCATCACAGCTACTGCAGATTGCTGCCCTAACACTGTCCTCCTGGTGTAATATTACACTGTTTAAGAAAAGGTTGATATAATCCAGGCTTTTATTGTCCCTGATGGACCACACCGTCACCATTGTTGCAATATTGCTAATGATAAATTAATTAACACTTCTACCTTGTCAGTATCAATGTTTACAATTTATAGGACCTTGATTAGCTGAGAGCAATTCAAATTCATCCAGGTTAGAAGAAATGATATTATTAAACAGATGTTTTAATAGTGAGTTATCAATGTGGTCAATGTGGGGGTGTTATCTAGAGCCCTAGTTTATATCAAGTTGTTTGTACATCATTTAATATTAAATCGGGGAATTGCACCAGGGCAGTGAGCTGTAGTGGTTATTTTGCCTCGAGTGTTCTATTTAATAATCATTAAAGGGTGGGCCATGAGGACTGGTTTGGGAACCACTGTAATTACTATATTTTAAAATAATATTTTCCAGTTTTCCTTTTTCTAACTTATATACAGTGTTCCAATGAGGATTACAGCCATAATATGTTCTATTTAATAATCATTAAATGGTGGGCCATGAGGACTGGTTTGGGAACCACTGTAATTAATATATTTTAAAATAATATTTTCCAGTTTTCCTTTTTCTAACTTATATACAGTGTTCCCATGAGGATTACAGCCATAATATAATACTTACCTTTCACCAATTACTGATGTTTTGGGTTCAGTTTTCAAAGTTGATATACAGTGTGCTGTTAAAAAAAGAAAATGCTGCGTGAGATGTGTCTAGCATGTAATCTCTCTGCGCCCCCACCCTTCAACCCCCACCCCCGTCCTATGCTATCTTTGGAATTTTTCATTTAATTTAATAAAGACGGATTGTAAAAAGGAGTGCTCTTGTTCAAGTAGCTATGGCAAGTAGTTATGGTATATTTGCTGGGAGCATGGGTGCTGCGGCTATGGAAACAGTGAATGGGGCTTATACACTACATTTTGTGAAACATTGTGCATAATCTGAAAACCAAATGAAAAAAATCACTAATCTAGGACTTGAGTACGTGTGAAACCTGCCTTATAGGACTCTCCTTGTGAGCAAAATCAATTGCACATTCCACCCAGTCACTACCAGCTAAAAAAAATATTCAGCAAACCATGTCAAATGTTAGCACCTATTCATGGTTAGTTATTAGAATAACCTTTATCTGAAAAGTACTAACATATTCGGTTGCACTATTTATTAGTGATCTAAAGATTATGCTGAGAATGACATTTTAGAAATACATCCTCTCATGTTTTGGGGATCACCATTTAATATTTTTTTTTCAATGTAATTACATGTCTTTCATGTATTGTTTGCATATTTTTATCTATGTACTGCATACGTGTAGCTTTCATTCAGAATTGCAGATGAGAGCTGTGCTTTGCTGTTCTTAGATACAGGGCTGATCTTCTTAATCAAGCAGACTAGGTACTGTAAATACTGATGTAGCTGTTGTTGTGCCATTAGGTTGTGGGTGCTATCCCCCAGTTATCGTTTGAACCAGAAAATTATTATGATCACACTAGGCCCTAGGCAGGTTTCTAGTTTGGGTCCCCACTTCATTCTTCACATAAGGATGGTTAGTAGAACCGAGAAAATTCAGGGTTCTCTGTGCCGTGTCTAACCCCTTAGCACTAAGAAGTCCTGCTTTGGTTTAAACAGTCTCCAACTAGTTTGAGAAGGCACCTGAAATCCACTTCCCGGCTCATCTATTGTTAATTTATTTATTAATAAAATATTTTACCAGGAAGGATACATTGAGATTTCTCTAATTTTCAAGTATGTTGTAGGTCCACGAAACAGTTCATCGTTACAATAGGGTACAATACAATACAAAAACAATATTAATACACAACATATATACAACAATTTAACATAGAACATGTAAGAAATATATATTCAACCATGACAGGTGCATTCTGTTTAGAGACATGGAGAGAGGGATCTCTTAAAGGATTTTAGGCCTTGGGGAAGATTTGAATGTGTGCAGGAGGTTGTTCCATAATTGTGGCGCTCTGTAGGAAAATGAAGATCGAGCCGCTTTTGTTTTTGTATTGTGGTAGACTAAATAAAGGGCTGGTACTGGATCGGAGGCTATAGGAGGTGGGAACAGCTGAAGAGAGCATTCTGCTCAGGTAAGGTGGGAGCTTCCCAGAAAAGCTCTTAAACACACGGCTGGAAAGATAGAGAGTGCGTCTGGATTCCAGAGATAGCCAGTTTAGCTCTTTTAACATGTCACAATGGTGGGTCCTGTAATTACATTGTAGCACAAAGTGGCAGAACGAGTTATAAAATGTGGTAAGTTTATAAAGGTGGGTTTGCGGTGCAGGTGCATATACTACATCCCCATAATTAGAGTTGAGTGAACCCGGACTGTAAAATTCAGGTTCGTACCGAACATTAAGTTTTTTGGACCCCGGACGCGAACACGGACATATTACTGTATTTTCGGGTTGGAGTTCGCTGTTCGGCGATTAAATGGCGCTTGAGCTCTTATTAGTGTAGGGATAGGATGCTGCTGCTTTCAGGGGCAGATTAGGAAAGAATTCTGCAAACTACTACATTAGTGGGGTGCACTTCATATCTGAGAGTCAAATAGAAGCGTCAAATACTGTGGTTACATCTGAGTTTTAAAAAGTCAAATTTTTTTGGTGCTAAATAAGACATTAGTGGGGTGCACTTCATAACTGAGAGTCAAATAGAAGCGTCAAATACTGCTGTCACATTGCAGTTTTAAAACTTAAAAAGTTTTGGGTGCTAAAAAGTACATAAGTGGGGTGCACTTCATATCTGAGAGTCAAACAGAAGCATCAAATACTGCTGTCACATTGCAGTTTTAAAACGTAAAAAATTTTGGGTGCTAAAAAGTACATTAGTGGGGTGCACTTCATTTCTGAGAGTCAAATAGAAGCTTCAAATACTGGGCTTACAGCGCAGTTGTAAAAATTCTAATTGTTTTAGTGCTAATCTGCTAAAAGTACATTTTGGGCGTGCTCTTCATATCTGAGAGTCAAATAGAAGCGTCAAATACTGCGGTTACAGCGCAATTGTAAAAAGTCTAATTGTTTTGGTGCTAAACTGCTAAATAGTAAATTTGGGGCGTGCTCTTCATATCTGAGAGTTAAATAGAAGTGTCAAATACTGCACTTACAGCGCAGTTGTAAAATTCTAATTGTTTTGGTGCTAATCTGCTAAACAGTAAATTTTGGGCGTGCTCTTCATATCTGAGAGTCAAATAGAAGTGTCAAATACTGCGCTTACAGCGCAGTTGTAAAAATTCTAATTGTTTTGGTGCTAATCTGCTAAATATAAATTTGGGGCGTGCCCTTCCTTTCTGAGAGTGCACATCATATCTGAGAGTCAAATAGAAGCGTCAAATAGTGCAGTTACAGCGCAGTTTGAAACATTCTTATTTTCTGGGTGCTAATCTGCTAAATAGTAAATTTGGGCCCTGTTCTTCATTTCTGAGAGTCAAATAGAAGCTTCAAATAGTGCTGGGACATAGCATTTTTAAACATTCAAATTTTTTGGCTGCTAACTAGTACATTTGTGGCCTGCGGTGCACTTCATATCTGAGAGTCAAATAGAACCGTCAAATACTGTGCTTTCAGCGCACTTTGAAAAATTCTAATTGTTTTGGGTGATAAAAAGTACATTTGAGGTGTGCACTTCATATCAGACAGTCAAATAGAACCGTCAAAAACTGTGGTTACAGTGCAGCTTGACCAATTCAAATTTTTTGGGGTGCTAAATAGTACATTTGCGGCCTGCACTTTATATCTGACAGTCAAATAGAACCGTCAAATACCAATATAACAATATTGTAATTCGGGGGCAATACCCTCACAAGTCAAAATGAGAGGTCAGTTTATAGGGACTGACAATTGGATACAATTCTAAAACAATTTCCATATGTCCTTTGCAGACTTTACATGCTGGAAAAACACAGGTGCCAACTGCTGTGGCTTTCTGCAGTGTGCAGACCGGCAAGGAGGGCAGGGTTGAGGAGTGGGTGGAAGATGATGTGGAGGATGATGAGGTCCTAGACCCCACATGGAATCAAGGTCATGCGAGTGACGTGTGCAGTTTGGAGGAAGAGGCGCTGGTCTCACAGAGGCACCAGCACAGCATAAGAGGGAGCAGGGTGCAAAAGTGGAGCGGCAGTCCCCTAGCGCTCGTCGGCATGTATTATCTTTAGAATTCCCACAGTTATCCAAGTAACAGATGGAGCGATAAAAGGAACCATAACAGATTTAACGAGCCATTCGCAGTTTCACAGTCCGGTGACCGGGACCCAGACACTGTCTGGGCGGCGGTCGGACGACCGGGACCCAGTATGCCTGATGTTGAAGTTAGGAGTCACAGTGTGGAATGGGTAAGCAGGGTCTGGTGCAGGGTAACCGCATGCCACCTGGTGTTGAGCACCAGCATTTGTGCGGCCACAGTAAAAAGAGTACTGGATATCAGACTGATCCGCAACTTGGAACAGGATATGACATTCACTGCAGCGGCTGTGCGCGCCTTCGGCATTCTCACCCTGCTGCTGCTTGCCTGTCGGCGCTGCTGCGCTCACCGTCTCATATGCGATGTGCCCACAAGGTGGAACTCCACCTTGCACAATCTGGAGAGACTGTGCAAGCAGCAGCAGGCGATAGTGGAGTTTCAGCTGCAGCATGCACGGGTCAGTCGTTCTGCGCCAGACTTACCCTCCAATTGATCAGAGTTAAAGGAGTCCTGTATTGTTATTTGTCGTCACTGCCTTCCCACGTCGGGAGTGGGTCATTTGCGTGCCTGCTGCCTTCCTTGCAGGTGGTGACCGTTTCTCAGGCTCCCTCTCTGGAATCGAACCCTGATTCCCCGTTACCCGTGGTCACCATGGTAGGTGCAGTAAATGGCATTGAAAGTTGATATGGATGACATACGAGTGCGTCATTGCCTTGTCGTTCGGGAGCCCATTGAAAAAGTGCTCTAGCATGACGAGCTGGGTGATCTCCTCCGGGAACTTGGTTTGATGGGAGTTGAGCCAGTTCTGGGTGGCTCTTGTGATGCGGCATGCCCACTCTGCATGGGAGTCCTTCTCCCTTTTCTGGGTCTCCCTAAACTTTCGGCGGTATTGCTCAGGGGTGACCGCATACTGGGCCAGGAGGATTTGGGTAATAAATGGATAGTCTCTGATCTGCTCTTCTGGTACAGCCCGGTAAATATCCGCTGCCTTCCCCACTAGTTTGCTGGCCAGGATGGTGAACCAGTTGCTAGGGTCCACGTCTTGGAGTAGGCACTGGCGCTCAAAGTCTTGTAAAAAGTAATCGATGCCTTCTTCTGCTTCCTTGAAGTCTTTTGAAGGATTGTTTGCCAGGGTGGTTGTGCTTCCCAGCGCCCTCTGCTCCCTTCTTCCTTCATCTAGGTTCATGGAGGTCGCCCTCTGTCTATTGGCAAGGACATAGGCTTGCACCTCCAAAAAGGTCCTGCTGACAATCTCCTCTGAGGGTGGCTCTCGGTAATATGCCAGGTGCCGTTCCACCTCCTTGCGCACTTCCTCCTCATCTCCAGCCCCTGGCTGGGGTTCGTTGCCTCACTGCGTGCCTGATCGTTCCTCCATGAGCGCAGCAGTCAATTCGGCCTTGTTACACCCACAAGGCGTTATTCCTCTGGCTCCACACAAGTCCTGCAGTGTAGGTCGCTTTAGAGCACTGTAGTCCATGGGTCTGTTGGCAGGGACATGGGATCCCGCCACTTGCCACCAATTGAAGCTGTACCTGGGTAACTGATGGTTATCCCCTTTGATTAGAATAGGTCAGACCCATTTCCCCAGTAACCGGATGGGACACAGTTCCAGGATACAACATTTGACAATCTTTATTTGGGTACACAGCTTTGCCTCCTGTTGCCTCCTCCTCCTCTACCACCTCCTCATCTGGTCAGCGTAACACCTTCACCACCAACTTCAGCACAGCCAGGGGGAAACGACAGCAGGCTGTTTTAAAACTCATATGTTTGGGGGGGGAAAACCCACAACGCGCAGGAGCTGTGGACGGGCATGGAACAACAGACCGACGAGTGGTTGTTGCCACTGAGCCTCAAGCCCGGCCTGGTGGTGTGCGATAATGGGCAAAATCTCGTAGCAGCTCTGGGCCTAGCCTGGCGCATGTGCTGAATTTGGTGGTGCAGAAATTCCTGAAAAACTACCCAGATATATCAGAGCTGCTGCAGAAAGTGCGGTGCATCTGTGTGCCCTTTTTACATTCTCACCCTGCTGCTGCTCGCCTGTCTGCGCTGCAGCGTAACTTCGGTCTTCTCGCTCACCGCCTCATGAGACTGTGCGAGCAGCAGCAGGCGATAGTGGAGTTTCAGCTGCAGCACGCATGGGTCAGTCGCTCTGCGGAACATTGTTGTCTTTTTTTATATGTCCCAATATTTTGGGGGCTACCCCAATGAAAAAGAAAAAAAAGAAAAAATATATATATATATATATAAAACAGTGTTGGCTACCTCCTCCTCCACCGCTGCTTCCACCTACACCGCCATGGTCACCGCATCCTCAACCTATGGGTCACTTAGTATAAACTTTGTACACAATAGCAATGGCTTGTGAAGGCCTTTTCTCCACGCATCAGGAGTTGAGCATTTCTCCATGCATCAGGACTGCAAGAAATTCACCGCAGACCGCAAATGTTTCTTTTTTTCTACGTCCCAATATTTTGGGGGCTACTCTAATAAAAACAAAACAAAAAAAAAACAGTGTTGGCTACCTCCTCTTCCACCGCCGCTTCCACCTACACCGCCATGGTCACCGCCTCCTCAACCTGTGGGTCACTTAGTATAAACTTTGTACACAATAGCAGAGGCTTGTGAAGGCCTTTTCTCCATGTATCAGGAGTTGAGCATTTCTCCATGCATCAGGACTGCAAGAAATGCACCGCAGGCCGCAAATGTTTCTCTTTTTCTATGTCCCAATATTTTGGGGGCTACCCCAATAAAAAAAAAGCAGTGTTGGCTACCTCCTCCTCCTCCACCACCGCTTCCACTTACACCGCCACGGTCACCTCCTCCTCAACCTATGGGTCACTTAGTATAAACTATGTACACAATAGCTGAGGCTTGTGAAGGCCTTTTCTCCATGCATCAGGAGTTGAGCTCAGTTTGAACAATGAAAGAGAATACCTTGCACTCCAACCCTCTCTCAAATAGATAATTCTGGTGATCCTCCTGACAACCATGCTTTAGATTTTGATTTATGTTCTTCCAAAGCTAAAATCAAAGATTCCATCTAGTGCTATTTTATGGCTCAGCTGTATTTTTATTTTTTATGTTATTTTAAGTGATTTCCCTATCCACATTTGTTTGCAGGGCACTTGTCCTACTCTTACCCCCATTTTATTTCCTTTTGCAGCCCTCTAGCCCTTGCCAGGACTTTTTTAGAGGCATTTTTGTGGCCAAAAGTTCAGGTCCCCATTGACTTCAATGGGGTTCAGGTTCGGGGTCAAGTTCAGTGTCAAGTTCGATCACTAACCCGGACTTTTTTTCAAAGTTCAGCCGGACCCGCCGGACCCGAACATCCAGGTGTCCGCTCAACTCTACCCCTAATAAATGATTGACATCAGCATTTTCTGTACAATCTGTTTCTTTATTGTGGCACTTAGGCAGGATTTGTTTCTGTACAGGATACCTAGTTTTGGATAAAGGTTTGATGAAAGTTTTTCTAATGTGGAAGATCCGCTTTCACATTAATGTCAACTTCATCTCTATTTTAAAGCAATTCATTGGCTTCATTTATTATACCATGATTACTACACCGGCATATAATCATTATGGCACCTAGACTGAACCCTAATGTTAGTCCAAGCTAGTCCTTCTTAATAAAGTTAAGCTCCTCTAAGCTCCTTAGCAGATGCTTCTTTTCTGTTTGTTTCAAACTATTTGGTTGCACTGAGGTGACTGTAAACCTGTATTATAACCCATTAGCGGATGTCGTGAAATTGAAGCCATCAGATGCCCCAAAATACATAACCTGGGCATAGCATCCTATCCATGCAGAAAATGGGAAATGTTGGAGAGTAGCTTAATACCGATTCTAAAAGGTGGCTAGGTTTAATGCTGTTTTTGTAGCCAGAAAAAAATTTAAACCTGTATTTATGTAGAATAGTTAGGAAGGCAAGCCAAGCTTGAGAGCAAGAATGATAAATTAGAAAATAAGCAGTCAACACAGTAACAACTATCACCATGTGTAAATGTGTGAGAAGGTTAAAGAACCACAACAGACACAAATGTCCTTTTGTAGATGCTGTGTTTTACTACCTTAATTAATGGTTATGACATTACATCAGTTCAACTGTGCTAAAAGATGCCAGTATGCATGTGTGGCTGGGATTTGGCACTAGCAGAAGTGTGTGGGAGTGGTTAGTTCAGCAATGCCTAATTAAGAGCCCATTGGACTGATGATTATCATGGTCCTAATCTTATAGACAGAAACACTAATATAGTCATACCTCCCAACAGATTTATATCTGGTGCAGGTGAAGGAATACTTGCACATATCCTTAGGTGTGCACATACCATTTGTCAAAATCTCTCTAGAATATGCCATACTGCCTCATAATGACAGGATGATGGGCTATTAGAGACATAGAAGCAAGAGCATTTGCACAAAGTTTGGGTCAGTTTCAAGTGAGTAATTGTATAGTGCATCCCTCCTCCCACTCTCTATACCATTTGCACAACATTTCAGATAAAAAACGTGAGGAGAATTGGAAAAAACATTCTTTCTTTTTTTTTTTAAAGGACCAATGGACCTCTTACATTGGCATGGCCCTGGAGCTGCAGCTCCATTAGACCCTACATTAATCTGGCCCTGGAACACCATTGGACATATTATCTGCTCTCAGTGAGTTCTGTACAAACCCTCCGCAACTTATTTATATTCACAACTTTGTCAGATATTCAAAACACCCTTCAAAATATGTTCGATGGTTGGTATTGTATGTTTATGTATGCTGTTGTTTCATTTTCAAGTCATTTAACATAGTTAAGGGTATTAATTTCAAAAGCCTTTCCAATATGATTGAATTAATTATTATTATTGAATATGTTTTTTTTAATCTATATATACTGTGGTTTTAGTATCAAAGCCTTTTAACGCCATACGTTTACAATTCTTTCAATAGACTATCCAAGATGATCAAATGAATTAATTGATAGGTTGACATACACTGTATTTTTTTTTATATTATAGCCTTTTGACAATACCACGTACTTATCCTTCTTTTTATACGATTCAATTAATTAATATAAGCTATTCTATAGTTTTCCAAAACAGCAAGGACTGTTTGTACTGAATTGTGCATCTGTAAGAGTTATTTATTTTGTATTTACAGTAGCCATTTATGGATAATGAGCTTTTTACTTTAAAAAAAGCATTCATTTTAAAGCACACAACATGCTCCTTAACCTTTACAAACGCTGTGCGTACTGAACTAAAGCCTTCTATTCTTGTAGAATAGGAGACACTCCTGCTTAGACACTGTGAAACTAGGGATTTGAGAGCAGCAGACATTTTCAAAGACTGCTCTTTCAATCAGTGCATTAGTCTGAAATAGTCGCACAAATGCAACAGCAATTCAAAAGGATTGTGGTGTGGAAGCAAGGTTCTTCTTTTACCTGAATTTCAATCCTGATGAATGAACATTAGCAGAATATTCTTTTGGCCTTTAGTTTCACCTTGATCTTCTCACAGAATGCAAATCGACATTATACCCACATTTCTATAGTGTTTATTTCCATGGTCATGATGTGAGGGCCTTTTTTCAACCTGAATAGTGTAAAAGGGGAAACATATTATTGCAAAGAGCCATTATTGTGCTGAGAATGTATAAACAGATGAGAAGAATAGAGCGACATGCTCATAATGGGAACTGAAAGCTCTTCATTTTGTTCTCATTGTCTACCGTTCCTTTCTAAACAACCTTCTTTTTTCAAGCTATCAATACAAA